ATGGAATACTCTTTACTCATGAGTTTGAACAAGGAGCTCTCATAGCATAGTGGTTATGAGTTGGGTTGCTAACCTCAAGATCAGCAGTTTGAGACTACCAGCTGTTCCATGGGAGAAAGATGAGTCTTTCTGCTCCTGTAAATATTTACTGCCTCAGAAACCCTAGTCATGGTTGCTATGAATTGAAATCGACTCCACCGCACATAACCAACCAACCATTCAAGAACAACCCTAAAACTAAATAGTTAAAATAATTAAAGCATTTTTTCCTAAGTCCAGCTTACACATATAAATGTTACCTACAAGGCTAAAACACTGTTTTATTTTTTGAACCTTCTAGTATGCTTTGGTCTCTGGTAGCGTAGTTGTTACAAACTGGGCTACAAATTGCCAGGTCAGCAGTTGGAAACAACCACAGCAGAAAGATGAGGCTTTCTGCTCCCCTAAAGATTTACAGTTTCGAAAACCCTGTACAGGGTCGCTCTGAGTTGGAAGCGACTCCATGCCATATAACCACCATCACTAGAATGCTTTGGGCAGAGCTATCATTATTACCCAATTACAATGATGCTTCGAATCATGTGGTTTCATTTGCACATGCTACAACAAGAGTTGTTGTTTTCATTGTTGTCTGTGTTTTTCTTGTCACTGATTTTATCAAATTTTATGGTATTTTAGATAACAATATTATGCTAATTGGTGTCAGTGAACTTATATCAATAACTTTTTTTGAGAATGAAATAGTTAAAGGAAAAGACAGAAAAAAATTATGACTCCACTCAGGTGCTAATAATGTAATTCATAATGTTGTGATTTAATGTAAAAAGATTTCACACAACAATTTTGTTAGTATTTGTATAATCTAAGAAATACTGTTGTTGTTGTGAAGTGCTGTCGAGTTGGTTCCAACCCATGGTGACCCGTATAGGGTTTCCTACATTTAAGGAGCTCTGGTAGCGTAGTGGGGCTGCAAACAGCAAGGTCAGCAGTTCGAAACTACCAGTTGCTCCGTGGGAGAAAAATGAGGCTTTCTGCTCCGGTAAAGATTTACAGCTTCAGAAACCCTGTTCAGGTCACAGAACAGACTCCACAGCACTTAACAACAACAACACTGAAGCAATTTACAACTCTGTTTATCATATATTATTCCATGATTAAAGCTGATAGTATACTTTACTACAGATTCTGTATGGTCTGGTACAGGGACAACACCATGAGTTACACACTGACTCTCATGCACTCTAGTGAAGCTCCTATGTTTCCACAAAGATTTACAGCCTTGGCAATCTTATGGGGCAGTTCTACTCTGTCCTGTAGAGTCTCCAAGAGAAGGAATCAACCTGACAGCAATGAGTTTGCTTTGGTTTTGATAAGGGGTGGTTATAGTAGCTCAGTGGCTTTGCCTCTCTGTTGTTTTTCCAGCAGATTCAGTGTGCTGATACCCAGCAGATTAAATAAATATTTAGAATATTACACATATCCCATATGGATTATGAAACAATAAAGTAACGTTTGCTCCAGTATACCACCTTTAAAAAAAAAAATCCGTTAATAACAAATAGCCAACTTGCTTACCACTTCCTGCCAAAATGAATGTATGTGTCATCCATAAGTGGAAGTTTGTGATCTGTCTTAAATTTTGTGCACATGCTTTAGCAGAGGATGGTTGTTTCAAGAATATTATGATCTGCTTATCAAAATATTTTCTTTCTTTTCTTTTTCCCTGTTTTTTGGTAAATATATTTTTTAAAAGGAGAGTAATCGGCTGATATATTGGTGTGTGTAAATCTTTACTTTTATAAATGTAGTTAAAATACAGATAATAATTCAGAGAATGGTTTATCTTAAAAAGTATATATTATGATTTAGAAATAGTGAAATAGGTTTCTAACAATTTAAAGCATTATGGAATAGTTTAAACCCAAAACACAGTATCACTTTCCCATTAATAACGTAGACTCTGAGTTATGGTGGGAGGTTCACATAATGAGTACTAATAGACTGGACTCCATTGCTACAGAGTATCAGTCTGTGATTGTTCAATGCTTTGACTATCACTTCTGCTCACATCAGCGGCCTTCTCAGTGTACATAACTATATTCAATATCGCCTGTATATATTCTGTGGTTGAGTCAAAGAAGGACCGAGTTGGATGTGATCTTGTAGATTATTGTTCCCTCAATTCACTAAATAGGTAACTATGGTGAGATATCAGTGGGCTGGGGTCAGAGCAGATACTGAATATACAGACACACCTCATTTTATTGTGCTTCACTGTTTTGCACTTCACAGATATTACATCTTTTACAAGATTTGTGGCAACCCAGCATGAAGCAAGTCTATCAGCAATGCTTTTCCAATAGCATGTGTGCTCACTTCATGCCTCTGTGCCACGTTTTGGTAATTCTTGCAATAGTTCAAGTTGTTTCATTAGTATTATATCTGTTATGGTGATCTGTGATATAAGTGATTTTTGATGTTCCTATTGTAATTGCTTTGTGGTGCCATGAACTATACCCATATAAGATGGTGAACTTCATCAATAAATGTGTGGATTCTGCTGCTCTGCTGACCAGTCATTCCTCTGTCTCTCCCCCTGTCCTTGGGCCTTCCTATTCCTTGAGACACAACAACATTGAAATTAAGCACATTAATAACTCAACAATGGCCTCTAGGAGTCCTGCGGTGGCACCGCAGGATAATGCACTGGATGGCAAGGTTGGTTTGAACCACAAGGTCAGTGGTTCAAACTCATCAGTTGCTCCTGGAAAACCCTACCTAGGGTTGCTGAGAGTTGGTACTGACTCAGCAGTACTTAACAAGAACAGCAATGGCCTCTAAGTGTTCAAATGAAACGAGAGTCAATCAATGTGGCACATTTCATTATCTTGTTTTAATAAATTGCCACACGCACCCCAACCTTCAATAGTCACCACCCTGATCAGCCAGCAGTCTCCAATATCAAGGCCAGGCCCTCTGCCAGCAAAAAGATTATGACTTGCTGAAGTCTCAGACGATGGCTAGCATTATTTAGCAATAGAGTATTTCCTAATGAAGGTATGCCCATTGCTTCTTTTTAAGATATAGTGCTATTGCACAC